CCTCGCATTCTTTGTCCACAAGAACTTCTGGTTGCTCTCTGTCAGCTTGTGTAGGGGTCTTGCGATGGAAGAAAAGTCCTTCACGAATTTCCTATAGTAGGTGCAAAGCCCTAGGAAGCTTCTCAGCTGATGGACATTTTCGGGACGTTTCCAGGATTTAACGGCTGATACCTTTTCAGGATCCGTGCGCACACCTTCTGCAGAGATAACATGTCCCAGGTAAGTCACTTCCTTTCGGAACAATTTGCATTTAGCGGGACTCAGCTTCAGATTGGCTTCTTTCAGTTTCTGAAGCACCTTCCTAAGATTTTCGAAATGTTCTTCAAAACTCTTTCCGACGATGATGATGTCGTCCAGGTATATGAGGCAGGCTTCGTAGGAAAGGCCTTTCAAAACAGTTTCCATAAGACATTCGAATGTTGCCGGCGCATTACACAGTCCAAACGGCATCACCTTGAATTGCCAAAGCCCTTGTCCCGTAGTAAATGCCGTCTTTTCTCGGACTTCAGGCTGTATTTCTACCTGCCAATACCCACTCTTTAAATCAAGTGTTGAGAACCACTTGCTTCCAGAAAGAGTGTCTAGAATGTCGTCAATTCTAGGAAGAGGGTAACTGTCTTTCTTCGTAACCTCATTCAACCGGCGATAGTCGACGCAAAATCTTGTTGAGCCGTCTTTCTTTCTGACTAGGACGATGGGAGATGCCCATGGACTTACTGAAGGCTTGATGACATCGCTTTCTTCCATATCTTTTAATAGTGTTCGCACCTCTTCCTGTTTAGCAAACGGTAGACGTCTTGGATGTTGCTTGATCGGGGATGATCGCCGGTATCTATTCTATGTTGTGTCAAACTAGTTTCGACCCACGTCAGAAGACGAGCGGGAGAAAACAACTTGAAGATCTTTAATGACGCGATCGGCAGCATTCCTCTCTTTATCGTTAATTGCGCATTCTGCAATAACTCCGATGTAATTCTCTCTGAGGACACGGATTCTTGGATATTACTCTTTCTTTCAACGGTGGTACTGGAGTACATGCTGCAACCACTTCACCTTTCTTAATAATTCGCCCCTTCTCAGTTACATTGGCGACTCTCACCGGGATAACCGTTCTGGATAGTCGACAAGTGTTGAGGCTACTAGTACTCCTTTTGGGCTATTACAGTTATTGGGATATTCTATGATTGCCGTAGCGGAAATTCTGTTTTCGGCTATGGATCCAGGAAGTAAATTTCTGTTCTTGCCGGTATTGTGATATTGTCTTGTGCTATGATTTTATGGACAGATTTAACTTCATCATTGATCCAAATAACGCTATGTCCCCCTCAGATAGAATGCAATTCGTTATTTTTAAAAGTCCAAGGAAAAATTGTATTTCCTTAGAAAGTCCAATCCGGTATGCAAGATCATGATCTCTGCTACATATGCCGTGTTGATGGTAAGCGGCACTTCCAAAGGTGATGTTAGCATTTACTTTCCATCGATGTTGATCTTCTCACCGGACACAGTCTGTAGGGTAACGCAGGGGGCGTCCAGATAGTTTGCTTCCCAGTTTGTTGAGCCAAATCTTTTCGGATTGGTAACGTTGCTCCTGTATCTATCATATTGCAGGGAACTCCATTAATATCCTATTAAATAGTCCATTACTGCCGCCTCTCACTGCAAGAAATCTGAAGCGCTTAAACTGGGGTTTTCATGATCTGGCAACCTCCGCCCCGCGAGATGCCACTAATTAGTTTCCCTGCTGTTTGTAGGCGGTCTTAGCATCCGTGCCCTGGGGTGTTCTTCATTTCCATCGTATGTGGCCTTCAATACCGCAGTTCCAGCACTTTAGGGTAGGTTTCTTCTCACCAATATTCTGTCTCAAGGCGTTCAGTTGTCTAGTAAATCGTCTAGACGAGCAGTGACTGATCCCCTGGCTCCTGGCTGAGCAGCTCTGACTGGATTGGCGGTCTCGACGGGGCTTGCTGGCTGCCTCAAATTTTCATGGCATACACTAAAGCGCTTTTCAGATCTTTAACATCCGCCATTCCAGTGCTTTCTGTATTCAGGGTCCCGGATGCCATCGATGAAATATTGCAGGGACAGGATTTCCCTTGTTTCTGTCGGGCCTCCGAAAAGGATGAAGTGACAGCCTTTTCAACATCCGGGTGGCGAGCTCCTGGCGTTTCGTGGCTTTGTTGACGGATTTTAATTGAAGCCTACTGTAATCTTTCAAACACTTTTCCCCAAAGCGAAGCTCCCAAGCGCCGGATAGAGCTTCAAAATCTAGCCTTTTGTTTTCAGGAAGAGTCTGAAGGATATCCACTGCGTCTGCTCTTAAAGAAACGGCGAGATGACAGCTCTTAGCTTGAGATTCCCATCCATTCGCATCCGCTACGACAGAAAATTGTGTCTTATACACTTCCAGGAGGTCTTCCCATCATATGTAAATAGTTTCTGCAGAACGGAACGAGCAGGCATCGGTGAAAATTTAAAACCCTCAGAATTGCTTCCTTCTGCCGCTATGCTCTTCTTTAAAGTATCAACTTCTTTGGCAACAGCAGCAGAAACCCTATCATCAATTGTTGTTCGACGGCAGAAAACTCTTTCTTCAATTTGTTGAAGGCCGAAACTCTTCCTTCGACGCGTTGCTCCACAGCCGACACTATCTTCTATTTCATCTTTGACAGAAGAAACCTTTCTTCAATTGCCCGACTTTATTTTCGACGCTCTATTCTGTCTTCCGTAGCCTCAAATTTACTTTCTATTACGCAGGTTATTTCTCTTTCATTCGTCTTGACGCTTCAATCTTCTTGTACAGCTTTTATGTCTTCTTTAAAATTACTTGACGCTCCAATTTTTTTAACGGCTTCATTTCCTTTTTAACGGATCTTATCTCTGCTTTAACAGAGTCTTTCATAATCTTCTTTAAATGATGCTTGGCCAGCTTCCATCTTTTCTTGGAATGCAGCAAAAGCAAAATGAGCGTCTCAATTGTTCTTCCATCGCTCTTGTGATTGGCATCAAATCCCACTTCTGACACCAAAATTGTTGCGTGCGTACGCGTTTGTTATGAAATGAATGCCACAAGTCCAATGAAAAATGAACAAAAATTTATTATTATCACAACAAAAATGCTTAAATTTTCTCAAATTACACGCAGTATTACAATATCTCACAGTAGTTTTCTTTTACTACTCAAATGTCCAATAGAACGTAATTCAAACAGCTAAAGAACGCTAATCCGCGAATTCGCTACAATCAACAACAGTAGTTTTCTAAACAACAACAAACTAAGCAACTACTACAAATGAGATGTTTTCCTCCTTTTATAAGATTTTAAAATCACGCGCTAGAATTTTCCAGCACTTTCTCGAAATCAAAAAGATATTTATTTATTAAACGCACGCGCTCTTGTATTTTTAATTTTTCCGGCTTAGCTTTCTTTTAATATTCGTCACGCGCTGCACTGCGCGAGAAATAAAACCATTTAATTTATAATTGAACTAACATTAGCTTTTTAAATACCAAATTCGTAACACCTCTATGTGCATTTACTGAGTAATTATTGCGCATTTTTTAACTGAACTCAATAGCATGTACTATGTGCTTTTTTTATTCTTAGTCATATTTCCAGAAAATATAAAGATAAAACCTTCCAAAATAATTTATCAAAATTGGTCTAAATTTAAGAAACTGTGCTTTTAAAATTTAAAAGATATATCTTCCTTATAAAATAAGCATTGTAAAATCAGTTCTGTAACAGCACATACTTTGCTACTACTTACTTAACTTCAAATAAATCAGATAATTATACACTATTAACTAAGGTGCCGCCCAGATGGTATAGTGGTTAGGGAAGCTTGACTGTAATATCGAATTGCCTGGTTCGAATCCCGGAAAAGGCATGGATGTAAAAATTGTCTGTCCCTTCAAAGGAGACAAAGGTGGCCTACCTATTAGGTGCCTCCATAATAAAGAGACCACCACATCTGGCCTTAGGAGTGGCCAATGTCAACATAGAGAAGTGGAAAAAAAAAAAAAAAAAAAAAAAAACCCTCTAAGTCATTAAACACAACTAAAAATGGTTTGATAAAAATTGGCTTCAAAGCTTAAAATTCCCTCTAAAATTCAATTTTTAATTTACTTGACTTTTTTCTGATTTTCCATGATCAAATAAATGCAATGATTTCCTTGAATAAATAGAATAAACCAGTCATAAAATTAAGTATAGAAAACTAAATAATTTTAAGCATTTGCTACAAAATACAATGCAGATATTAAGAACATTAAAATTTAATTCATCTTATTCATTTCTAAGAAGCAAATGAAAAAAAAATACACATATAAAATATGCATGCAACCAATTAAAAAAAAAAGCTAGCGTTTTCTATAAGAAATATAAAACTCTGAGAGGGAAGACTGTTAACTCTTTCTCTAAAAATATATCATTTGTTATAAACATTGCTCAATGACTTTTTCATTTCATTATTTATTTAGGAAGGGAAATAAGGTTTATAAAGATATGGCAACAGAAAAGTACATTTTTAAAGAGATAAAGTGAACAACAGTTCAGTAAAAAATGAAGCAGAAAGCTATGGATTGTAAAATTGTGCGAGATGTAAAGTGAATAAAACGCTTTTGGCGAGAAAAAACAAATAATGCAACTCTTCCATTTGCAGTCTTTTTAAGAAGGATAATTTCTGTTAATTCAGTTCTCTAAAGCACTTAATTTTTATTATTTTTGAAGATTATATTGTCTGTATAATTACACATTTTGTTTTAAAATTTACCTAACTTTCTGGGATGAGGCGAATTCTGATTTTTAAAAAGTTTACATCTTCCCTGACTTTCATTGAATTTCTTTTTTTCTAATTCTACAGGATTTTTTCAAATGAGTAAGAATTTTGTAGTGTTGAATAAAGCACTTAGTAAATCTCTAAGAACCGGATAAAGCAAATTTATATTTTATCTTTCATAAATCTAACAACAATTTTGAATTGAAAAATGCACTTTACCAGAATTGAGGCCTCCTAGATGATGAGGAAGCTGAGCATATATACTCAAATGCAGGCATAACTGCGTTTTTCCACTTCCACTTTCTCCACATATTTCTGTTATAGTGCCAGTATATATCACATAATCAGTTTGTAAAAACTGTAGACATAGTCTTTGTCTCTGTAACTTTTCATTATTAAGAAGACTGTATGCTAAATAAAAAAGAATTATTTATAAAATGCTAAAAATAATAAAAAATATATTAGAGATATAATAAACTTATTGTTAAATACTGTAGGCTGAAAAGTTATTTATTTATCACAAACTCTAAAGACTACTTTACTAGTAAGAAATTGCATTTATTGGTTAAGCCTATAAATTAAACTTTCTAACAAAATATTTAATTTACTACTAAGGTGGTGCATATATTTAATTAACAATTCAAAAAATCACCAGTTTCAATGACAAATTATAAAATATACACTTTACTAGAATTACTTACTTAGATATTATAACATTATACTTTACCAGAATTAATTATTTGATGACCACATAAATTTTGACATTCTATTTACATGTATCCAATACTATTCAGTGCAACAAACTATTAAGCTAAAAAAGCCTATATTTGCTTTCAAGAAGTTTATATTGAAGTAAGTAGCACTTATGTGTTAGCTCTGCATGATATAAAAAAATTGCGCCAAAAAAGGGGGGAATAAATAATTAAATATGTTTCTGTATCTACAATTCAAACTTAATAACAAAACTCCTTTTTTTCATGAAAAATTTAAAGTTTCTTTTTCCAAAGAACATAAGTTTCAAATCTAAATTAACAAAGAAGGAATACTTACTATAAAAAAAAAAAAAAAAAAAAAAAAAGCCTGTTTAAATGATTTTATTCCTATTATAACAGGCTAACTAAACAAAGGCTGCTTAAGCAATGCCTTCCTGGAGTATTTTCTAAGGGAAATTTGCTCATATTTAAGTTACACATGGGGAAAATACAAAAACCAACCATGCAGCCAGTCCATTTGCCTGGGATCGAATTCCCATTATTCAGCAATTATAATCATTGGTCTACAGGTGGGCTCTTTTTCTCGGTTAACAAAAATATTTGTAATTGGAGAAGAGAAATTTATTTTCATGCACCACACACACGAAAAAAAAAAGTGTGAAAAAGAGAGAGACAGAAAAGAAAGGGAAAGAGTTATAGTTCAAGTTATTCCCATCAATCATAGCAGATGATCAATTCAATCTTTCATATTACGATAGCAGACATAAAAAATGTACACATAATGACCTAACATATTGTTATCCAATATTTGGTTTGAGAAAAGATTATAAGTATGCTGCACCTTCCCCAAAGCCCAATTTACAGAGGGTGTTCAGACATTTTTAGAACAATATCGATAAAGAATAAAAGCTAATGTTTCGGAATAAAATTTTTTGGCAATAGCTTATTATTTGAAATAAGAAATATTGTCTGCTTTTTTCTTAATTTATTCTTTTAAAATGTTGTGCGTGAACAAGCTGTGGATTGAAGAATATTTTCTGAAATACTCTTATTCCATAATTAAAAAACGTTGAGAAATGCATGACATTAAAATTTATAGAAACAAAATAAGCAACATTATTAATCAGAAAAGGAAAAAACATCTACATGGAAAGAAGGCTCCAAACATATACCTGGAAAAGGTATGTACTGTTTCTAAAGTTAAACCCCCGGTAACAAGAGAAAATCCACCGATGCAAAAATCAATTGTAAGGTCTTTAGATACATCTGTAGTAATAATAAATAAAATAATAAACCAAGATTTACAACTTAAAAAAATCTTAAGAACATAATGTTTGCCAGCTTTTGCCAAAGCATGTGGTTCAACACAGAACAATTTGTAGAATCCTGTATGAAAACAATTCAGTAGGCAATAAATAGGAATACATTGTGACCTTTCATAAAGCATGGATTTTCCAAAAGACTGCAATAAAAAAAGTCCATTTATTATCAGAAACGAAGAGAAGAAAAATATACGAACATGGTTTCGTCAATGCAAAGAAAAATTCATTGCCAGGTTTATGATTGTTGCACGATTCTCTTACAGTGGAAAGTTAAAAAGACTGGAAAAAATGTTTAAATCAACTCAGCATACTATCAATAGTCTTATGTCCAATATTTAAGAAGAAATTCCACTTCTTTATACAAATGAATTTCAAGCAATGAAACTTCATCAAGACGAAACAAGTCATATTTTGAAAAGTACCACTGCATTCCTTGAAAAAATGAATACTGATTTGGTATTGTATATATAGTTTTTCAACATATTCCTGTGAAGTGGCCTGGCATTTCACCTATATGCCTTTTTGTCTTTTGAAAAGAGCTCTCTCTCTCTCTTACCCACCATGATTGATAAATTCTAAAAAGTTGTGGAAGAGAAATTTTATGAAAAGACCTACTATAATGGAAATCACTACACAGAATTATAATCCAGAAAAATGCTATCAGAGTGAACATTTGCATTTTAAATATTAATTAAACAGCTCCAAAATAAATCTAAAAAATGTATAAGCACCCTCTGTAGTTTCATGTGTTCTGTTCTTTCATTGCCTAAAATCAGAGAAGACAACATTTACATTCATCTATGACTGTTTTGAAGAAAGTAGAGAAAATTTTGAAGATAATGACATTTTCCAGGAGTGGAAAATACTTTGGGCCAACAGAATAGCAAACATCGGTGACTATTTGGTAAAGACCACATTACTTATTTCAAGATTAAATAATTCATTCTAATACCTTTTTGACTAGCATTTATATAATGAAGTCATACATTAAAACTTTTAAATGGTATAAGATATGTTTAAAGATATTAAGAAAGTAATAATATCTATAAATTAAAACAACTGATTATAAAATCACTGGGAAAATTTTCCTTATTTCTATTCAAAACTTAAAACACACATGAGTGTGAATATATTGATAATTTGGTTAAGGTAGACTTTAAGGTACCTTTGTATTATGGCGAAGTTGTTGTTTCATTTATGGTAGTCCGAGTAGTTGAATGTTATCGAAACCCTACTGTGACGTAATCGGGTGCATGATTCTGGGAAATTTTGAAACATGGGATGTTTTGTAAGTGCTTTTGTGGTGCGTGTTGGTTATTGTTTAGATGGTAGAATAGCTGAATGTAGTAAGATTTGAAGTTTCTGTACGTTTTGGAACGAAAGAGGAAAAGAGCATTAACTGACTGGTGTGTAAGAAAAGGTTTATTTAGTAGCCATTATAAGTGTCCTGTATGTAGGAAGGATATGTGTCTAATCAAATGTAAAAACAATTTAGATGGATTTGAATGGGTTTGTAGAAAAAGATTCAGATGTGGCGACACCGATATACGGACTCGAGTTCAGATAATTTTAGGAAGTTTCTGGATGCTGTTAATGAATTTTGTGTGCCACAGACTAAAGATGAAGGAACTTCTAAATAGGGTAATATATCTTCTAAATAGCTTTTTGTAGTGTTTAAATGTATAACATGTTTTCCCTTTTTTATGTTATTTTATTGTTTGGTTTAAAATGTAGTTTATTGAGACTATGTATTTTTTGTTTGCCTATATTGTAGCATTGGGTGCTCCTTTGACTTTTTAAGTGAAAATACACTCATGTCCAAAATTATGTTTACATACCCAAAAATGATGATATTCAATGAAATATCGAATCAATGTGATCCGTATTTGCAGGGAATGTGTGAAAACCAAGCCTAATTAGCATTATCCAATCAAAAGTAATCAAACGGTTTGTGATATGCAAATCTAGGCGTTATGTCATCCAAGGGTGAATCAAGCGCTTTGCGCAAACTGAATATTTGAGTGAATTTCTGCAACATAGCGTTTGATTTCAGTGTGTAGGGACTCAAAGCGGTCTGTTATGGCTTCGAAGTATCATTTGGAAGAATCTGTAAAGTGGCGAATTATCGGCCGTTTAGAAGCAGGGCAGTCAATCATGGAAACAGCCACATGTCTGAATATTTCAAGACAGACAGTCTCTAAGCTATGGAAACAGTTTCAAAATGATGGAAGTGTTGTAAGGAGGCCTGGACAAGGTCGGAAACGAATGATAACTGCTTCTGAAGATCGGTATCTGGCATTAACTGCCCGTCGTAACAGAAAGGCTACTGCTCGCCAGCTAAGTTCAGAGCTTGCAGCCGCCACTGGAACTGTTGCATCACGGCAAACAATATACAGAAGGCTTAATGAAAAAGGCCTTTATGCCAGAAAGCCAAGGGTATGTGTTTTACTGTCTTCACAGAAAAAGAGGGATCGCTTTAATTGGTGTAAAGAACATCAGAACTGGACTGAACATCAATGGTCCCATGTTCTCTTTACTGATGAGTCGCGGTTTAGTTTAACTGGTGATTCTAAACGTGTTTACATCTGGAGGGAGTCAGGAACACGAAATGATCCCTCGAACATTGTGGGAACGTGACCGTTTCGGTAGTGGAGGTGTGATGGTATGGGGTGGAATAATGATCGATGGACGTACGCCCCTACACGTGTTCAGCAGCGGATCTGTGACAGGCCAGATATATCGAGATGAGGTCTTAGATCCTTATGTAAGACTTTTCAGGGGTGCATATGGACCTGACTTTTTATTTATGGATGATAATGCCCGTCCACATCGAGCAAACCTCGTTGATGAATTCCTTGAAAGTGAAGACATTAAGCGAATACCTTGGCCACCAAACTCTCCTGACCTTAACCCGATAGAGAACTTATGGGACTACCTTGGAAGAGCAATTGCACGTATACATCCTCCTCCTAGAGATGTAAATGCTCTGAAGACGGCATTGCTGGAAGAGTGGAGATTAATTCCCCAAACTGTGGTTAACAACGTTATTTCCAGCCTTAAAACACGTTGTGATATGTGTGTACAAGTCAGGGGAGATCATATTCCATATTAAATTCGTAAGACTTAATTCTTTTTCTGAATCATTCCTTTTTTTCTTAACTCTCTTGTCACACTTTATTAACATTTTTATTGTTTCATACTACAATTTTATATCATATGAGGTGATCTTCAATTTTTTCTTTTGCATTTATGTGTCATCATGTTATGTATGATTCCACGAAAATTCATTAAATTATAAGTCATAGTCTCTGAGAAATCCGTGAATTTATGCATGTAAACATAATTTTGGACATGAGTATATATTGATGTGTACATTGACATAGTGGAGGAAGTGAACAATTCAAGTTTGTGCAATTCTTGGAATTTTTTAAGTGAAAGTCGAGGTATACATGGATAAAGTCAAGGGAGTGAGCAATGCCATTTTTGTGCAATTCGGGGATTTTTTTTTTAATGAAAATAGGTCGATGTGGATACCGAGTTTGTGCAATTCTTGGTCTTGTTATTTTGGCTTTGTGTAGCGCCGATTTTTTGCGCAAAAATCGCCATTATGCAGGCCAAAATAATAAGTCACAGAATTGCACAAACTTACTATCCATGTACTGCCAAGGGGTACCCTAAAATATACTTTTACCTGATAATTTATTTTAAAAGACAACTAATTAAGAAAATATTTTCCAGTTCTAATTAAAAATATTTGACATAGTTTGAGTTTTTAAATAAAAATTAAAGAATAAAACAACCAGTAACTATTTTAAATATGATATAAAATAAACATGGTATTATTACATCACATGAAATATTGACATTTTAATAAAGATTACCAGTGCTACATTCACTTTCAAGAACAACTCTAGAAGCTGCTTCAAGGACAGTACTGGCTTCAGAAGCTGTAACTTTAATAGCTTGCTGGAGTTCAACTACACAAAGGTGAAGGATTTTCTTCAGTGAATGTAATTCAGCTGTGAGGAAATAAGTATTATAAATTAACTTAAGTTGCAACGATAATAATAAAAAAAAAAAAAAAAAATTATGGTAAAATATTAATATTTATATTTTTGTTATGGCTATGGTTAACATAAATTACGATTGGAATTAACTAGATGACATTCAGAGGAAAGTGGTATTTGTTTATAATTAACTAATTTGAGTGGAATTTAATATGCACATTATTCAGATCATGATAAAGAAATTCACAAAAAGAAAAATATAACCAAAATGCTTTCCACCAGATGGCAGGGTTTACTACATGCTAAAGAGTTATTTGCACCAAACTCGCTGATGAATGTCATTTTTTAGGGCTTAATCCCTGGCATCAGACTACAGTTCTTATAATGTCTGGCTTTACAGTTTAAAAATCATGTATATCAAGTACATGTATTCTTTGTATCAGAGCCCAGTGTGTCATATTGCCCACATTCTTCCTGAAATACTGTATCCTGCAGCTGACACTATTTTATGAGTCCAACACATGATTAACAGTGAATGATCTCACACTGAGCAGGTAGCTTAGTAATTTTATTCTTGTAATAAAATTTTGTTCACCTCTCTTACAATGCTTACTATCATTTCTAAAAGTGCCCAGCTGGCAAAAATTTGAACTTTTTTTCCTTACCTTTGCAAGCCTATTCCTTGTGACTTATGCATACTAAATTTTACTGAAAGTGGCAAAATGGATTCTTGCATTTAAATTTGTTTTCAGTTTTTTTTTTTTTACAAATATACAGCATAGGAACTGTAAATGTGCTACAAATATAATAACAGTATTTATTACATAATGAACTAATTCACTTCAGTTTTCCTCATAAATATTATAAACTTTTTACATTATTTTAAGAATGCTGATTTAAATTTTGAAAAATTTTACATAATTCATTTAAAATATTTCTGCATTCTTAAAATAATATAATTTAATTCTGCTACAGCTGCAAAAATCAGGAACTTGAAAAATATATGTGTTTTTGAATAATAAAGATTAAATTAAAATGTTAAAAGTCAATTTTAAATGTGGAATACATAGATGTTTAAATGTCCATTACAATCATTTAATTTCTTTTCTGTAAAAACTGTACCACTAAAATTATTGTAATGTACCACAATTTGAGAAATCCTTGGAGTAAGGTAAAGAGTAATTCTTTCAACATCTACCCAACATAAATTACTTAACACATAAATATAGAAGAAAATTAATACAGTACAAAGTCCATAATCTGGACTCGGGACTTTGGTGATTCCAGATTAGGGTTTTTCCGGATTATAGATCATTAATTTAAATCTGGTAAGATGGCATGCAGAAATTATAAAATTAAAAATATTAAACCGTAATTTATGAAATTAAAGAGCAATTATGATCTAAAGGGTATCAAATTTTTACAAAAAAAAAAAAAAAAAAAAAGGGGGGGGGCTTACTATTTATTTGTTTACTTTTATTAAACATTTCTTTCATTGTGGTAAGTTGTTTAAGTTGCTTCATTTTTTGTGCTAATACTTTTCTCTTTAATTCTATTTTCGATAAACAGTCATAATTTCTTGGTTCAGTTACAAAGTTTCCACTGTTCAAGTCCTGTAACTTGCTGTACCTTGAGAATACCGACTAACTTGTCAATCGAAATTTTTTCATTTTCAATAACCTCTCTGTCACTTTCTTCAATATCGGAAGCGCGCATGTGTAAACACTTTACTGGCTTTACACGCATGCGTAGCGGACGCACATCAAACACGAATGTCTAAATGGTTTACGCGCATGCGTAAGTTTGTTGCTTTGAGGTCCAGATTATAGACATCCGGATTATGGACTTTGTACCATATAAATTTGTATTTACTATAGTGTTTCATTAAATAAAATGCGCGTAATAAAATATAAATTCAATTTATTATTTTATTTAATACAAATTTGTTATCAATTTATTAAAAAATAATGTTCTTCATTTTTAATTCACTTTTTACAAAGTTCAGCAGCTGCTGCTAACAGTACCACAAACACATTATCATGGCCAAATGGTTTCTTTTCCAACATATAATTGCATATTATGTCTATTAGTAATACAGTCATAAGTCGTTAATTCGGACACCCATAATCCGGAATGATCTATAATCCGGACCTCAAAGCTAAAAGCGTTGACACATGCGCATAGGCGTTTACGTGTGCACGTAAGACCTTTTACGACTGCGCATATGCGTGTGCGCAGGTGCAGACTACGTTTTCACATGCGTTTTTTATGTATAACGGACGGTATAAGCTAAAATTATCTAATTATCTATTTCAGTTAATGTTGATGATTGCGTTGTTCCTTAATCTTCGAATTGGATCCGGCTTATTATTTTTTGCTGACTGTAAGAGCAATATTATAAAAGTAAACTTGAACTTTCGATTATGTCAAATAGAATTTCCGATTCTGGAGCTCCCAAAGGATCATACAAAACGAAAGTATGTTTCGATGTCCATCAAACAAAAAGTGGAATTGCTGCAAAAAATGGATAAAGACATGAAGAATGTGACAGAGAGGTTAGTGAAAACGAAAAAATTTCGATTGACAAGTTAGTCGGTATTCTCGGCACAGCAATTAACTTGAACAGCGGAACGGAACTTTGTAACTGAACAAGAAATTATGTCTGTTTATAGAATTAAAAGAGAAAGTATTATCACATGAAACAAGAACACTTACATTGAAGGAAATGTTTTAAATAAGTAAACAAATAAATATTAAGCTTTTTCTTTTTGTAAATTTTGATACCCTTTAGATCATAATTGTTCTTTATTTCATAAATTATGGTTTCATATTTTGAATTTTAGAATTTCTGCATGCCATCTTACGAGATTTAAACTGATGATCTATAATCCGGAAAAATCGATATATCGGAATCGCCGAAGTCCTGACGAGTCCGGATTAACGACTTTTTACTGTAATTTTCTTACTTGATAAAATACATTCTTCTAGGGAAAAAATTAAGCACTTTTTTCAGTTGATGGTAAGATTGAAAACAGTAAGCATAATAAATATTTGCAATGAAAAACTGATATGTTATTAAAGGGAAAATTTTTCACTTCCCAAACAAACATGAACTATGAGCAGAAGGAAAAAAAAAAAAAAAAAAAAAATATTTTAAAAGCGACAGCAGAAGAAACACACATATACAAAACAGTACCTGTTTATTTCTAGCCAATGCAGAAACTCACAAATCAACGTTCACCCTAAGGTCACTATAGAAACAAGTACCATTTAATAAATCTTTGTACAAATTAAAAAAATTATCATACATTCCGGCATATAGCGCACACTTATAATTTCAAACTACAATTTTTAATTTTTTGGTATATCTTTGCCACATAACACACATCCTTTCTTTTTTTTCCCGAAGAAATCTGAAAGATACATGTTTGATGCTCTCATCTTTTGAAGTCATTCATTCGAAGATTTTTCCCAGGCTTTCAAACAATGGCACACTGAACTGACAAGCCATAAAGCGAACAATACGTGTGTGGGGGAAATGCTTGAGAAAGTAAATAATTCTGCAAAGAGAGTGGTTAACATTCAATAGATGTTCACATGAATGTTATTCTAGGGTTTCAAGAAAAGGAGGATATATTTTGGGGTAAGAATGCACTTGTGCCCTGATTGAATTTGTGGAATTAGGAGTCAGATGTTTTCTTTTTCTGTAGTAACTAAAAGCTGTGATTTTGAAAAAATTGCATTTGCTTTAGCTGAAATGCATCTGATCTAATTCTAACAAGAAACAGCATACATTTATTTGTCTTAAAGTAGGCAAAAAAGAATGCAAATGAAAGAGAAAACTTTAAAGCAACTTTGAGTTGAATATGGATGAAGCTTCAGTAATGTTTGATATGACAATAAATAAAACAACTGATGAGAAAGCAACAAAAATGGAAAATGACAACAGGCCATGAAAAAGTGTAATGGAGGGTACAAACCGATGGTTATTTTCAAAAGAAAGACAATGCCAAAATGTAATTTCTAAAATGCTGTTTTCATTCATATTCATGAGATAGGATGGATGGATGAAAATTATGTGAAACTGTGGATAAAGAAATGTTTGATAAAAGCATCCTGTTGTCTTAAAGGATCCTTAAAGTCTTTTAGTTTGGGACATGTTCAGATCCCATTTAATGAATAATATAAAGAAATTGTTGAAAGAGTGTAATACAGACATGGCAGTTATTCTAGGGCAGTGTTTCTTAACCTTTCTAACGAGTCGCACCCCATTGAATTTGAAAATATATTTCTGCACCCCATTGAAAAATGTGTTTTAATTTTTTTAGTCTAGAAAAATACATTTTTTGCAAAACTTATTGTTTATTGGAAAACATTGTACATTTTATATAAATACAAAACAATATTATTTTTATTAATGACTAGTCTGTTGTTGTTTGTTCATTATTATACTGGCAAAGCGAGGTTCCTTTTTTGAAAGACATACACGTAAGTCATCACTTGCATTTAAGCGATTTCTCGCTTTAGTTTTTATATGCAAAAGCGACGAAAATCTCATTTCGCACAAGTAGGTGGTAGCAAAGAGCAAGAGTAACTGCAGTGCTCCGTTCGCCAACTCTGGATAACATTGTAACTGTGAACACCAGAATTGTTGCAATTCTAATTGTTCGAATTCCATTTGAACATGTCCACTTGCTCGCATTTCAATAAGTTAATCTTTTTTTCTTTTGAGATCACTATCATCCATCAAATTTAAGACAAATAGAAATGGATCCAGTATCCATCTCTGAGTTTTGGTAATATTTAAGATAGAAAAATATCCATTGAATGATTCGTTCAATCGTCTCAAATGTATTACAATGTCGGGTATAATTGTATTCTTTTTATTTTTCGCAATAACAGAATCAAGGAAGGGAAAGTTTGCAAAATTCCCCTTTTCTACTGGACGTATCCAAATTTCTAATTTTGCGATAAATGAAGATAATATTTCACTAGATATTATTATATTTATA